ATTGTCACAGGGCAACATGTGTAGTAACTGTTAAATGAGAAACTATTTTGTTCTGTAAGCCTTCATCTTAAGTGAGAATAGCAGCACAATTGGAAGAGCATAGTCAATGTCACTGAACTGTGCATGCAGAAATTTTTGAAATGGTGTATCTTTGGCAATGTGTATTTTCACCAAAAAAAAAGGTCGAGAAGTTAGAGGGTTGACATGTTGTGGGGTTGTTAACCAGTGTCATAAAACAATATGTGTAATACTGTTTCATGAGAAACTATTTGTTCTGTAAGCCTTCACCTGAAGTACAATATAAAAAAAAAAAAAAAAAAGATTTGGCTGCTTCTTTTAAAGGCCTTGTAAAACACACACAGAATGTAAAATACGAGCAAGTGACAGTGATCCATAGACCAAAGGGGTTGTAAGGCCTCCTGATCCCATCTGGTGAAGGACGGATTCATTCTTTCCACAAATTCTTATTGAAAGACCACTATTCACCAGGAATAGTTGGATATGTGAAGAATTTAGAATGTTAACCTTTGGGATAAAACAATTTTCACATGTACATAGTAAAGGTACTGGGGATACATAAACATATTCCTTATGTTTACGGAGCCTATGTTCTACTTTGGTAAACTGAAAAAAAGTAAGGAAAGCCATAAAGAAAGTAGCTGCAGATTGTGAAAAGGGTTTTTATGAGACGGCCAGCAAGCAATGGAGGAAATGAGGATACATTTTGAACAAAGAGAAGGCTCACTGATGAATTCACTGTTGCCGGGGTGGGAAAAAGCAAGCAAGAAATAAAGGGTTGCTGCTAAGTATTTCACTTGAGCCACAGGGCACCAGTGTCTTTTCATGAGATGAGGAATATCACTGATGTATAGAATATTTATGAGAACACGTTGATGCATATCAACTTCAAGATGGTTATTATATATCCAAGTTCAGATATGAAGAAATCTGAAAGACGAATAAATCTTGACTGGAGGTAACAATTTGGAAAACTTTAGTATTTAACTATGATTTTAAAACAGAGAACAGAATAAGACCATGTTCAGAGAACATGCACATTAGAAGAAGATGAACACTAAGATTTCAATCATTCTAACATTTAGAGCTTTGGAAATGGAAAAGTCCACTGAGGGACTGAAATGAATACAGTGGTAATATTTACAATAAACTAAGAGAAAGATTAGAATTAGTGTGGGACTAAGAACTCAGTTTGGCTTTTGCCTTCATCCCTTAAAAGATTTAAAAAAAAAAAAACAAAAAAAAACAGAAAAACCCAAACCCATTGCCTTTCAGTCGATTCTGACTCATAATGACCCTATAGGACAGAACAGAACTGCCCCATAGAGTTTCCAAGACTGTAATCAGCAAACTGGCACATCTTTCTCTCCCAGAGCAGCATGTGGGTTCACACCAGCAACCTTCTAGTTATCAGCCGAATGCTTAATCATTGAGCCACCGTGGCTCCTCCCTTGAAAGTCAGCCCTTGGTATTTTTTCAGCAATCAAGGTGCCCTTCTTTCTTATGACTGTCATATAACAGCCCTTCTATAAGGCAACACTTTAGAATGTATGGAAACGATTGGGGGCTAAACAGATACACCTGTCAACTAACCTGAAGCGGCAAGGTGGGCTTGATCCAATCAATCATGCATATTCATGTTTTCATTCAATGATGCCTATGCAATGAGGCCCCAATCATGAGCATTAAATGAAAGCAGCAAGAGCCCATGAAAAAGGAAGTTTGAGGCTTCCTGGACTGCTGCGAACATCCATGCACGGAAGAAGGTGGACATCCCTGGAGACAATGGAAATGTCATGCTGGGACCTCTCCCAGACCACGCCTCAGGTGTCTCTTCATTTGTATCCACTCTGGTTATAATAAATGGCTAACTGTAAGTATGAAGACCTCGGCTGATGTAATGGGTAAGCCCTCAGCTGCTAACCAAAAGGTCAGTGGTTCAAACCCACCAGATGCCCTGCCGCAAAAAAAACTGGCAGTGTGCCTCCATTCCATAAAGTTGTATACCTCGGAAACCTGTAAAAATGGCACGGTGGAGGCATCTGACCTCCTCTAACTTCACAAGGGGTGGGGGAGAATCAAGATCAACAGCCAAAGGCTGATTCCTATGAGGCGGAGGTCAGACATGCCTGTTATGAAAAGGCCGGAGGAACCTGTCCTGAAGGGCTCGAGAGGAGCTCTGTATGGCCAAGTGGAGCTTAGCAAGCTATCTTGCACTGAAGAAGGGAGACTTTACCTACATGCTTCCTGATCCTGAATTGTGTAACCTGTTAATTCTCTAGTAATCCCCAGTAAACGTGAGTACGGTCTGTGAGTTCTGTTTGGCCATTACAGTGCATCACTGAACCCAGAAGAGAAGTAGAGAGTACCTTGGCAGGGACAGCTTATGTCAGAAGTGGCAAAAGATTGGAGAAAGGAGGTATTTCTGACCTCTATCTCATAGGAATCAGCCTTGGGCTGATGTTGGTGATGGTGATTCTCTCTCCTCCCCCTTGTGAAGTTAGAGGTCAGATGCCGACCAGCCATTTTTACAGTGAGTATGGTTTGTTAGTTCTGTGTGGCCATCGCAATGAATTATCAAACCCAGCAGAGAAGTATAGAGAACCATGGGTGGGACAGCGGCTGGTGTTAGAAACCATGAAAAATGGAGAATGGAAGTATGTTTGACCGCCACCTCATAGGAATCAGTTTTGTGCTGATCTTGAATCCCATCCCTACTCTTGAAGTAAAACAAGGTCTGACACTAGTAGAATACACTTAGCTTCACAAACAGGATTATACTGACCTTACCCGGAATGGCTGCGGAGTTTCGCCCAGTCCATTCTTTACTGGGATTGGCTGCAGAGAATGGCCAGTCTGACCTTTACTATGTTTGGCTGTGGAGCCTGTTCAGTAACTGACCTTTACCCAGATTAGTAGGGGAGACCTGCTCAGTCTGCCCTTTCCTGGACTGCCTGTGGAGCCCTGCCCAGTTGTAAGGACTGCCTACATGAAGGGCAAAACACTGAGGATTCTGGGGGACCTCCCGATTGATGAGAGAGCCAAGAGGAATAAGTGAGCTCGTCCTTTGGACATGGTAGCCTTGTGCTGATACCCTCTCAGACCCAGGTAAGAGAGCTGTAACACTTGGAGCTGTGACGGCAACAGAGCAAGCAACTACGATGAGATAAGAAGCTGTGGAAATAAGCAAACTTGGACAGTGGCAGCAAAGTGTAAAGGTCAAAACTTGGCCAGGACATGTAACACTCCAAGGGATTGGGCACCATGACCAGGGAGCTGCCTACAGAGGAGGGCATGCCACTAAGAGAGCTCTGCACCAGGAGCTGCAGTAAAGCCAGCCTACAGTTGTGGCCAGCCTAGAGTAGCTAGGACCACCCAAGAATTGGGAACATCCAAGAGCTGTCCTGGAGCTGACCAGGAGGAGCTGGGAGCCAGCTTAAAAGAGCAGTTGATAGCGGAGCCCGCTGAGTGACATTGAAGGACAGTTCCTGGTTGATGAGAGTGAACATCTGTGTCAGGAAGAGTAAGCAGATACCCTTGAGGTGTTTAGGTTCTGTGAAGGAAACACTTGCCCACCTCGTCCTATGGATTTCATTGTTTATAAACCTTGTTTATATACATTTTTATTTTTTTATTGCACTTCAGGTGAAGGTTTACAGAAAAAATAGTTTCTCATTAAACAGCAGTACACATATTGTTTTATGACACTGGTTAACAACCCCACGACATGTCAACCCTCTCCCTTCTTGACCTTTTTTTTTGTTTATATACATTTTTGTTATATTAAAAGTTGTTATCGCAGATATGGTGTTTCAGTGAATTCTCTGACCACTACAATGGATTACAAAACCCATTAGAAAAAGAGAGTGCTGAGAAAGAATGGCTGGTGTCAGAAATAATATATAAGCGAGAAGGTTGGGCTAAGTTTGACCTCAGCCTCTTAAGAACCAGGTTTGGGCTGATTCTTAAAGTCAGAATAATCATTTCAGTACACGAGTTATGATCTGGTTCATGATAAAACTGAGAATGTACAATGTTAAAAATGCTGTTTCTAGTTAAAAAAAATCATTAGGAAGAACAGAGACCTTTAAAGAAGAGAGCCCGCAGGTAGGAAAAATTAAAGGTAACTGCCGGAATGGCTAGAATTTCAGATGTACAGTACTAAAAGATAACCTAAATTGATAGAGGAGTTTTCTGGCCGGGAAGATAATCCTAGTTCCTTGCAGATATTAGGAACTCATAGGGAAGTTTCATCAAAATGAGTAAAATATACACAAAAAAGTCTATGTTAGACAATTTCAAGGAAAATGTCAATTTGACAGTCTCCTCTTGAAAACTGAAGATTAACTCATTAGAATGAAGAAAACTTTAAAGGGTTAGGAGAACAAATGAGAAAATGGAAATCAGAACCTTTAGAGAACTGCAGAGTAGGGGAAAAAAAGAAGCTAAGGAAGCATATAAAAGAACAATAAAAGACCATTTTACTGTGAAGGCATAACATCCAAGGTTGGGGTGGATGCTAAGAAGGGAAATCTGTATTACTCAATGGGGGAGGAAGGTGCTGTACTCTGAGGACAGTTACTAATTCAAAGTTCTCTCTTTGGAGGGAGGCCTGGAAGGTGGAATTTCAGAGTAAGAGAGGTGCAAGGATATGAAAAAGGCAAAGATTTCAGAATCCTAGAAAGAAGAAAATTAGAAAATGTAGATCAAATAAACAGGGAATCTGATCTCAGAAGATACAGAGAAGCATATATTTCTCTAAACTCCTAGAAAGGAAAAGAGGTCTCACGTGGAAAGAGGGACATGTGCAGGTCCTTTTATGTATCCTCAGACACCCCTCACAGATGTGACGCCTTCTCACACTTGAATGTGACTTCCACAGCCTTCCCCTCTTACCATTTTTGCTCACTCACCAGAAAAGATTCCACTATGGCGTTCATACAATATAGTCCATGGTTGTTCTCCTAGTTCCAACCTAGAGAGCACATCTGGTTTGCTAACTTGATACCCTGTTCATGAGAAAGCACAGAATCTTAGACACACCAAGTTGGCCTTGGGTTTGTGAAGATTGCAGAATGTTTTACTTGCGAAAAAACAAATTTCAAACTTACAAAGTAAAGGTTTTTCTGTCAAAAGTAGAAAGAATATACCCACTTATCTAGGGCCAGAGAGTGAACTGAGACCCATCACTTTCGAGCACCACTGACACTCCAAAGGTTTCAGCAGCTGAGAAAGCAAAGGACAATGACAGGAGAATTGTCCTCACCAATGGACACAAGGTTGCTATAGTTCTCCAATATCACGTCCCAGTACAGGTCCTTCTGAGCAGGATCCAGGAGCTGCCACTCCTCCCAGGTGAACTTCACAGCCACATCGCTGAATGTCAGTGATTCCTGTATTAAGAGGGTCCTGTTTAATGAACTGATTTCCATTTGATGATATGGATGAAATGTGAAGGAAGTTTTTCTGCTCATTTCCTCTATATAAACTGCTGCATCTATATACCTAGGTTTTTTTTTTTTTTAAATATCTTATAGAAAAAGCAAAATCCTAACAAAATACTTTGAATATGTACATTCAATAATCCATCCATTAATTTTCTATAATATACAGTAGTGAAATTGTCTTCCTAAGGTAAAAAAATCTCACATTTATAAACACATATATATACACATACACACACTCACAAATACATGTCTGTATATATATTAACAGACAAGTTAACAGCATATCAAATACACTAAAGAGATATTAGTCAACTGTAATGCAGAATTGAAGAAATTACACAAAATCTAGCAGAGAGAGACAATATAAAGGAGAGATTAGGTAACATGGATAGAGTGAGAATGTCTAACACATGCCTATCCATAACTTCTGAAAAATAGAGCAAGGGAGAAGAAAGAGCCAAATATCTTACTCTGTCCTAAAAAAATAATTTTTTTACAGAACGAAAGACCTGTGGCAGGCATATTCTAAGATAGCCACATGGTCATATTGATACCTTTGTACAGTTCCCTACTCTTGAGTATGGGCTGGCCTAGTTCCTCCTATCTAATAGAATGGGCCAAAGGTAACACAATGTCATTCCGTGACTAGATTACGTATTAGACGTTATTTCCGTATTGCTGGTTGTTATGCTGCAACAGTGGTTAGGAAAGCTGCATCTGGAGTGACTTGGGGTGATAGCCCAGGAGGTTAGGCAAGATGACTGATAGGGGCCAGGGTCTTCTGGTTTGACCCAGACAGAGACCTAAGACCATATGCTCAGAAATGTATAAGACAGTCAGAGGGTGGAAAACAGAAGATGAAACCAAAATGTTCCAAAGGGCTAAGTGTTTATCTGAATGGACTCTATTTATCTAACTAAAGGAATGTTTTCCCTATCAGGTGTTGTAAACCAGACCTGAATATGTGATGGAAATAAATGCTGGATGTTGTAACAAAAATATTGGATTGGAATATGCTTGTCTCCTCAGAGTACTGGTTTGATAGGGCGGAGCAATGTCAACACTGGCTGTCTAAAACAGTGGGAGATAAAGGCATGAAGTGGCTGGCTTACATATTTTCATGAGTATGGCTATACTCAAAATGAAGGGGACTAAGAGAGGATTCCCCACTGAATAGATTCATCTTTTCCTGGTGGGTCTCTGGGGTAGAGATGTATTTACTGTTAACAGGCTTAACTGTGATTGTAAAAACTTAAACTGTAGAAGTTGTAACTGAAAAGAGTGGACTAAGGTGGAGACACTGTTGGACTGGAGTCAGTGGCCAAACCTAATGTCCATTAAAGGTTTTACTATGCTGACATCTCAAGAGGCTCAGAGGAAGAGAAAAATCTCCCAGTTAAATTTTATCAAAGGCTAGAAAGGGTGAACCTGAAACAACTTTTGGAGAACCTGACCACATCAGATGGAAATCCACAGCAGACCTGAATGGCTGGTACCTGAGTATCTCACCCTGTGGACTCTCTGCCCTATTGAAGGATTGTTAATGACTGTTCTGTACTGGTAAAATGATTGAGAGGAGAAAGTTATCGTCCAAGTATGAAAGAACCATAGCTAGAAAAGCCAAGGGGTGGCCTGTGGTGTGACTGATTATTTTTATGTGGCCTTTCTAGCCATGGTCTTGTAACTCCCACCCAAATTGATTGGGCAGGACTGTGTGATAGGGTAATTGTGGCCCATCAAAGGGATTGGTCAGTTTTACCATCTTACTGGGCTTAAAGTGAGCCATCCCAGAGGCAGGAAAGAATCCTACCACCATCAAGGAGAAGAGCCAGTGCGTCCTCTGGAACTGGATTCCCGCGCTGGGAAGCTCCCAGAACTGGGAGACAGAGAGAGAATTGTATTACTAAAGGCAGCGAGAAGCAACAGCAAAGAGCCAGCAGCAGAGACCTGGCAGCAGGAGATGGCACAGTGGGCTTCCTGACCCACAGAGAGAGAAAGATGAGTGCCTTTGGGCAAAGGCCTAGGTCAGGGAGATGCTACCTGTGAGCACAGCTGAGAAGAGGCTGTCATGATGGAAGAACTGTATCCTTGAGTGTTCCTGAGCCTTGACTGTAACGTGTTACTTCCCTAATAAACCCTATAATCATGAGTATGGTCTGTGAGTTCTGTGTGGCCATTGCAATGCATTATCTAACACAACAGAGAAGTAGAGAGTGCTGTGGAAGGGATGGTTAGTGTCAGAATTAGTAAAGACGGCGGAAAGAGGAGCCATATCTGACCTCCACCTCAGAGGAATCAGCCTTGGGCCGCTGACACTGATTCTTTCTCCCTTTTGAATTTAGAGGAGGCCAGACACTGCCCCCATGCTGTTTTTACATCTACAAAATGACTGGGTGGGGTTATGAAAATAAGGTGCTTGTGGCTCACCAAGGGGATTGGACAGCTTGCTGATAATGTAAATAAGGTGCATGGCACCACTGTGGGGGGTGGGACCATGCAAATAAGGTGTATAGAACCCTAATGAAGGGATTGGTCAGTTTTGTCATCATGTGAGGCTTAAAAGAGAGTTAATCCCAAAGCAGAGAGGGGACCTCACTACCATCAAGAAAGAAGAGCCAGGAGTGGAGCATGTCCTTTGGACCTGGGGTCTCTGTGCTGAGAACCTCCTAGCCCAGGAGACATAGAAAACTGTAACACTGTAGACAGCACAAGACAGAGAGAAGTGGCGGCAAACATGGTAGAGAAACGGAGACCAGCAGGAGACAGTGTAGTGGGCTCCCCAGCCTACACAGCAAGGCGACTATAGTGGGCATGCTGACCCACAGAGTGAAAGGGCTGGGCTCCTTTAGGCAGGAGGCTTGCTAGAGGAGTAGACGGCCTCCAGACGCTTAATCTGATAAGTTAGACTCACCAACCCATGGAGAGAGAGCTGGGCGCTTTTGAGCAGGGTGTTTCCTGGCATATTAGGGGTGTGTGTGGGCACTTACTGACAGAGTTAAAGGCCTGGTGTAAAAATTGTGTGATGGCATCATCTGACTTTCTCATCTAACTTCATAAAGGGTAAGAGAGAGAATCACCATCAATATCAGCCCAAGGCTGATTCTTATAAAGCAGAGGCCAAACATACCTCCTCTCTCCAACCATTTTACAAATTCTAACACCAGCTGTTTTCCCACAGCACTCCCTTCTTCTCTGCTAGGTTCGATAATTCATTGCAATGGCCACACAGACCTCACAGAGCATACTCATGATTACGGGATTTATTACAGAAGGAACAGTTTACAACTCAAGATCAGGAATGACTCAGGATAGTTCTTCAGTCGGGACAGCTGGTTCTCAGCCGCGCCTGCAGGCAGGCCTCCCTCTGGCCTTCGGCTCCCTGCCCTGCTTTGGCAAGTGTTACAAAGCTCTTTAGTTCTGCCAGTAAGTGCTCAGAGGCACCCTACTCCACTGGAAAGCGTCCTGTCCAAGGTTGCTCAGCTCTCTAGCTCCATGGGTCAGCTCACCCACTGCAGCTGCCTTGATCAGTGGACCAGGAAGCCCATCAAGCAATACTGTGCCAGTTTCCTGGTTCTGCCTGCACTGTTTTTCTGCTGCTGCTTCTCACCATTCTGCATCATCTTCAGTGTTACAGCTCTTTCTGTTTCCTGGGTACAGGTGGTTCTCAGCACAGGGACCCCCTGTCCAAAGGATGTGCAGAGCTCCCATATATTCTTCTTGGTGGCAGTGAGGATCCCAGTCTCCTCTGGGTGGCTTCTCTTTTAAGCCTTGCAGGATGGCAAAATTAACCAATTCCCTCATTAGGGTTGCATACACCTTATTTGCATGGCCTCACTCCCATAGGATTTCATGCACCTTATTTGCATTATTAGCAAACAGTCCAACCTCCTTGGTGGGTCACAAGCATCTTATCTGCATAGTCCCACTCAATCATTTTGTAGGAGCCAAAGGACCGTGGCAAGAAAGGCCATATAAAAATGACTCATCTCACCGCACTTGCTAATACTTGCCTGTGCGGGGCATAGGTCAGGTCACAGGGGCTAGAGGCCGAGGGCCAGAGAGACGTGCTTGTGGTCAAGGCTGAGAAGAAGCTGTCCTGATCCAAGAACTGTATTCTGAGTTGTTCCTGATCCTGAATTGTAACCAGTACTTCCCTAATAAACCACATAATCGCTAAGTATTGTCTGTGAGTTCTGTGTGGCCATTACAAAGAATTATCGAACTCAGCAGAGAAGCTGAGTACCGTGAGAGGGACGGCTGATTTCAGAATTTGTAAAAAGATCAGAGGGTAGAGGTATATTTGACCTCCACCTCATAGGAATCAGCTTTGGGTTGAAGCTGATTCTCCCCCTTTGTGAAGTTACATTAAGAGGTCAGGTACCCTCATGCCATTTTTTACAACCCTGATCCCAAGTTGTACCTTGTTGCTTCCTTAATAAACCACTTAACTGTAATTATGATCTGTGAGTTCTGTGTGGCCATTGCAATGGATTATATCGAATCCAGAAGAGCAGTAGAGAGTGCTGTGGGAGGGATGGCTGGTGTTAGAATTGTTAAAAAGATTAAAGAGTGAAGGTATATCTGACTTCCACCTCATAAGGATCAGCCTTGGGCATTTAACTTCCTTGAAGTTAGACAGGTTATGACACTATTACTATTACTACCATTTTACACTGGTATTCACGAAGCAAGCTGCCATGGTGGGGAAGTCCACGTGGCAAGTAACAGTGGGCTCCCTCTGGCCAACAGAGAGTAACCCAGGCTCTCATGGAACTGAATCCTGCCCACAACCAAGCAAGCGAGCTTGAAATCAGACTCTTCCCCATTTGTCCCTCAGATGAGTTTGCTTGGTCTATTCTGAACCATGGAAGAAACAGCCACGGTAAACCTGCTTTTGCATTTATGAGAATACTGCTTTTCAGGACGCTGTCCACCACATCATCTCCAGGAAGAAACATTAAAGAAGCTTACTCAGACAAAAGTCCCATGAAATACTGAAATCCTAAGAGGAACTTACCTCCCTTCTCCTCAAAAACTGGGCATAGCATTTAAATTATGATTCTCTTCTGTTGGCCAGAGCAATATTAAAAGCAAGTTGACAACTAATGTAACCCAAAGGATTCTCCAATCATACACTCTGTTCAACGCCAATAATTTAGTCTTACTCCCATGAATAATATATTTGTGATCCTACTTTGCCTGATGTTGAAGTCAGAGTCTAAGTTTATTTCTCTCCAGCTTCTACTTTTCCAAATTTATACTTTTCAGATAACTGCTCTGATATTTTACAGGTCTCTACAAATCCATTAGGGAACAAAGCAAACCATAAAATAAACCAAAAGTCACCTGCACCTTGACCATTTTCTTTTGTTCTTGGGACATTGCCAGCAACTGAGATGCTCTGTCTTTCTGTTTTCTGGATCAGCTCTAATTTCTGTTCAGAAATCTCACTCTCTCAGGAATGGTGTCCCCAGAAATAATACTCAAATCCTTCAATCTCTTCTTCCTTCCTTCAATTGACTCTCATGTTGCTGGGGAGTCAGGACCTGTAGGCTGAAGGAAAAATTCAGTACGAGTAGTATATTATCTCTATACCCAGATGCTATCACTGATCCTGGCACTCACCTTAACCCAAAGCCCTCAATACTGTCGACTGTCCCTTTATTTGGTGCCCCCAGAACATTTTACACCTAGGGGCAATAAAACCAAACATTCAGGATTTGCAGAGATATGGGTAAAACATATCTTTTTGAAAAATGGTGCTTGGACAATAAGATACATCTGTGAAAGAAAAAAATAAGCTTGATACCTACCTCATAACATACAAAACTATCAATTCAAAGTCAAGTATGACTCTCAATGAGAATGGCAAATCAATCAAATTTTAAGAAGATAAGTTTACATTAGGGTATGGAAATATATTTTAAACATGCCAAATAAAACACTAATTATAAAGTGAAGACTAGTCTCATGAAGGAACTATAAAGGATACAACCACTTTAGAAAACACTTAGGCATAATCTATTAGGTTCAAATTATACACACACTTTGAAATAACAATATAAGTCTGAGATACACATCTAGGTATATATCCCCCTGTGATGGTAAGGTTGTGTGTCAGCTTGGCTGGGCCATGATTCTCAGTGCTTTGGCAGTTATCATGTACTCTGGCAGTCATATAATGATGAAATCACCCCTGTGATGACATCTGATATAATGTGATCACCTCCACGATGAGACCCGCTGTGAGTAGCCAATAAATGGAAAAGTAGTTTCCTTAGGGGTGTGGCCTACATATAATATAGACGGACTTTCTGGCATGGCTCGGGGGCTTTTGCTTGCTCTGGATCCTGCAGCTAGCTCCTATTCATCTGACCTCCAGTTCTTGGGAACTGAGCTAGCAGCTTACCTGCCAGTCTTGGGATTTGTCAGCCTCGCACCCTGTGAGCCTGTGATCTTGGGTTCACCAGCCCCTGCAGCTACATGAGTCAGGAGAAGCCTCCAGCCTGACCCATGAACTTGGGACTTTCCAGCCTCTACAACCATGTGAGCCATTTTCTTGATATAAACCTCTCTACATATATATACACATAGGACTCTTCACTGGTTTTGCTTCTGTAGAGAACCCAGCCTAAGACACTTCCCATAATAAATGCACATTTGAACCTGCCTCACTATCCTCGCTGCCAAGAATTCTGGCTGTACTTCCTCCAAGACAGACTTCTTTCGTTCTTTAGGCAGTTCATGGTATAGTCAGTATTCTTCACCAACACCATAATTCAAATGCGTCAATTCTTCTTTGGTCTTCCTTATTCATTGTCCAGCTTTTGCATGTATAGGAGGCGACTGAAAATATTATGGCTTGGGTGAGGTGCACCTTCGTCCTCAAAGTGACTTCTTTGCTTTTCAACACTTTGAAGAGGTCTTTTGCAGCAGATTTGCCCAATGCAATACATCATTTGATTTCTTGACTGCTGCTTCCAAGGGCGTTGATTTGTGGATCCAAGTAAGATGAAATCCTTGACAACTTCAATCTTTCTCCATTTATCATGATGTTGCTAATTGGTCCAGTTGTGATGATTTTTGTTTTATGTTGAGCTGTAATGCATACTGAAAGCTGTAGTCTCTGATCTTCATCTGCAAGTGCTTCAAGTCCTCTTCACTTTCAGCAAGCAAGGTTGTGTCATCTGCGTATCACAGGTTGTTAATGAGTCTTCCTTCAATCCTGACGCTACATTCTTAATATAGTCCACCTTCTCAGATTAACTGCTCAGCAAACAGACTGACTAAGCATAGCGAAAGGATACAACCCTGATGCACATCTTTCCCAATTATAAACCAAGCAGTTGAATATAGAGAAAACTAAATAATAATGATTAGGAATAACTAACTACAGGGTAAAATTATAATGAAAATCCTGCAGTGCTTGCTATAACCACTTGGGTACTGACAATGTTCTATTTCTTATCTGGTGCTGTGGTTTGTTAGATATATATTGCCTTTATACTAAATAAGTTGTAAATTTTTAAAAAAGATGAATTTAGAAAAATTAAAGAAATGGAAGAGCCCCAAATACCAAAAGCAAAATGATGAGCCCCAAAACATGAAAAGTTTGTTCTCTGATAAGATTAATAAAATATACACAGTCTTAGTAAGAGGGAAAGGAGCCCTGGTAGCACAGTGGTTAACTGAAAGGTTGGTGGTTCAAACCCACTAGCTGCTCTGTGGCAGAAAGATGTGGCAGCATAAAAATGGTGTGGGACCTGTGTCTGACCTCCTCTAACTTCACAAGGGGAAAAGATTATCAAGATCAACAGCCCAAGGCTGATTCATATGTGGCAGAGGTCAGACATACCTCCTCTCTATGCCATCTTTACCAACTCTGACACCAACTGTCGCTCCCATGGCACTACTTCTCTGCTGGATTCGATAATTCACTGCAATGGCCAAAAAGAACTGTGTCTGCAGGCACACACTTCTCTGGCCCCTTGGCCTCTGCCATGCTCGACAAGTGTTACAAAGCTCTTTTAGCTCTGCCGGTAAGCTCAGGCCCAAAGGCTCCAGCTCCATGGGTCCACACACCCAGCTCTAACAAGGGCCCAGAGGCATCCCACTCTGCCAGCAAGCCACCTGTCCAAAGGCACTCAGCTTTCTTGCTCCGTGGACCAGGAAGCCCACCATGCCGTCTTCTGCCAATCTCTCCTGCCGCTGTTTCTCTGCCACTGCTTCTCGCTGTCTTCATTGTTACAGCTCTCTCCCTCTCTCTCTCTAGGTCTCCTGGTTCCAGGACCTTCTCTCAGTGCAGGGATTCCAGGTCCAAAGGATGCACTCTGCTCTTGGCCTTTCTTCCTTGGTAGTGGTGACAGCCTCTCCTTCCCGCCTCAGGAACGGCTCATGCTGCATGGCAAAACTGACCAATCCCTTTGGTGGGCCACAGTTACATTATTTGCACAGTCACACCCAATCACTTGAGTGGGAGTTACAAGACCATGGCGAGAAAGGCCACACAAAAGCGATCCATCACACCACAGAACTATAAAACATCTACTAATACTTTCAAAGGAGAATCATTTTTATTAATCTAAACTTCAAACAATACAAATGCACTTTAATAACAGAAAAAAATGCTATATATATAAACAATGGAATGCTGTAGAGCAATGTGATGGTTAAGGTTGTGTGTCAACTTGGCTGGGCCACGATTCTCAGTGGTTTGGCAGTCGTATGATGTTGTGATCACTTCTATGATGAGATTTGATATAATGTGATCACTTCTATGATGAGATTTGATATAATGTGATCACCTCCATGATAGGATCTGCTGGCAGCAGCCAGTCAGTTGAAAGGGAGTTTCCTCGAGCATGTGGCCTGCATCAAATATATAAGTGGATTTTCTGGCAATGCTCAGGGCCTTTTGCTCATTCTGGATCCTGCAGCTGGCTCCTGTTCGTCTGACCTCCAGTTCTTGGGATGTGAGCTAGCAACTTGCCTGCCGATCTTGGGATCTGTCAATCTTAACAGCCTGTGAGTGACAGCCCTGCTCTCTGACCTGCTGATCTTGGGTTTGCCAGCCCCTGTGGCTATGTGAATCAAGAGAAGCCTCTATCCTGACCCACGGACTTGAGACATTCCAGCATCTACAACTGTGTGAGCCATTTCCTCGATATAAATCTCTATATATACACTTATATGCTTTATTGGTTTTGCTTCTCTAGAGAACCCAGCCTAAGACAAGCAACTAAAGCCTCTGGCCAACCTGCAAACCAAGAATGCCTTGTACATTATTTTCAAAGGTTTGTTAAAAAACAACACAAAAGCAAAGAATTCTACATGAGAGACTTTATGTGGCCAGTAAATCCTAAAGTATTTACTAAGTAGCCATTCACAGAATAAGTTTGCTAACTACCATTTCAGAGCAAAGTAAATACATCTATGTATAATAACATGAATGACTCTCACAACTATGATATTGAGCAAACCAATCCTTATTTTAAAAAATGGATTATATATAATCTATTTATACTCATTGAAAATGTTGTTTGTTGTTAGGTGCCGCCAAGTCAGGTCCGACTCATAGCGACCCTATGTAAAACAAAACGAAATACTGCCCGGTCCTGCACCATCCTCACAATCTTTGCTATGTTTCAGCCCACTGTGGCAACCACCGTGTCAATCCATCTCGCTGAAGGTCTTCCTCTTTTTCACTGACCTTCTGCTTTACCAAGCATGATGTCTTTCTCCATGGACTGGTCTGTCTTGATAACATCGCCAAATTACATGAGATAGGAGTCCACACAACTCCCTTTACTTCTGATCAGCCAGCCCTTTTTCTCTCTCATCCTTAGCCCCTGGGGGCTAGGCTGACGAGTGCCAATGGAACATGTCCAAATTCAGCCCATCTCTTCATTGCTGCGTTTCTCCGACTTCCACTCATGAGTGGACCCAGGTGGTCACCACAAGCGAGTCGATCAAGCTATCTACTTGCTGGCTCCCTTTAACGTCCAGTCCTGGAAGGCAGTTCCTTCTGATGGGCACTAACTTTTCCTTCCTCGATGTAGCCAATGGCAAACTACCTGCTCGAAATTGAAAAAGCAAAACAGTCATTTATTTTTCAGCAGGTCATTCCTTCAAATGCAAATCATCTATTCTCTCAGCAGTTCTAGGTGGTTCTCCATGTCTTTACAAATATAAGTTTCCTGGGTGGGGCTCAGGCTTTTGACCTAAGGCCCCAATACTCTACACACAGGGCTACTGCATTTAAACCAACAGGCTGTGTTTCTTTCAGGCAAACTCTAGTTCCCTTTTTAGCATATCCAATCAAGTATTGGCTGAGGGCAGAGTTACAAGCTCTCCATAATCTATAATACCCAATATTCCTATCTATCATATATTTGGAGCTCTGCTGGCGCAGTGGTTTAGAGCTCGGCTGCTAACCAAAAGGTCAGCAGTTTGGATCCACCAGTTGCTCCCTGGAAACCCTATGGGGCAGTTCTATTCTGTTCCATAGGGTCGCTATGAGTCGGAATCGACTTGAAGGCATCGGGTTTGGTTTTTGGGTTTATCATGCATTTATGTCTGCTTTACAATATGTAGAAGAAACATTCAATATCCATAGTACATTTAATTAAACACATAATCCAAAAAACATAACCCTTTTTAAAATATTCCAGTTGCATCTTCTCCACCCATTGACTATATTCTCATTCATACGGCCTTGGGCCTCCGTCTGGGTGGAACCAGAAGACTCGGTCCCCTATCAATCATCCCATTTAACCGGCCTTGCCTTTGCCCAAAGCCATTCTCCCTTAGCTGCAGCATAACTTTCCTTTCAGTCATTACAGGTAACAACGACCAAAATAACCATCTAAGAATCAAAAGTCTGACATCCCAAGGCCCTTCGTTCTTTCTCTTACAAAGTCCCATGCTTTCCCGAGTTTGGAGCCACTGTAAAGAATCCTTCTTCTACTTAATGGTCTAACTGAAACTGGAGGAACCCCAGAAAGCATGGCCCCCAAACTCTCTGTCAACCCAGAACTAAAACCATTCCTGAGGCCAACTCTTCAGACAAAGATTGGACTGGACTGTGGGACATAAAATGACACTTGTGAAGAGTGTGCTTCTTAGCTCAAGTAGATACATGAGACTAAATGAGCAGCTTCTGTCAGGAAGTGAGATGAGAAGGCAGACAGGGTCAGGAGCTGGTTGAATAGACACGGGAGATCAGGGGTGGAAAGGAGGAGTGTGCTGTCGCAGTATAGGGAGAGCAATTAGGGTCACATAACAATGTATGTATAAACTTTTGTATGAGAGACTAACTTGAATTGTAAACTTTTACTTAAAGTACAACAATAAAACAAAAATAATAATTTTTAAAAAAATCCTTCTACAATCAACTGTAAAAATGGCATGGGGGTGGTGTCTAACCTCCTCTAACTTCATAAAGAGAAGGAGAATCAAGATCAACAGCCTGAGGTTGATTCCTATGAAGTGGAGGTCAGACATGCCTCCTCTCTCTGCCATCTTTACCAATTCTGACACCAACCATCCCTCCCACAGTGCTCTCTACTTCTCTGCTGGGTTCAATAATTCATTGCAATGGCCACAAAGAACTCACAGACAATACTCACAATTATGGGGGTTTATTAGGGAAGTAACAGGTTACAATTCTGGTTGACGAACACTCAGGATATAGTTCTTCCATCAGGATAGGTTCTTCCCAGCGTGCTCACAGGTAGGCCTCTCCCTGGCCCTTGACCTCTGCCCAGCTCAGGCAAGTGTTACAAAGCTCTTTCAGCTCTGCCAATAAGGGTTACAAAGGCACCCTACTCTGCCAGTATGCCTCCATAGGCCAGCAAACCTAACTCCACCAAGTGCCTGGAAGCACCCTACTCCACCAGCAGGCCTCCTGCCCAAAGGCACTCAGCTTTCTCACTCCTTGGGCTGGGAAGCCGACACCATCTGCTGTTGGTCGCTCCTGCCGCTGTTTCTCTGCCACCGCTTCTTGCCATCTTGAGGGTTTACAGCTCTCTGTCTCCTGGTTCCAGGAGCTTCTCAGCACAGGGATCCCAAGTCCAAAGGACACGCTCCACTCTTGGACCTTCTTCCTTGGCAGTGGTGAGATCCTCTCCTTCCCTCCTCTTGGATGGCTCATTTTAAGCCTAGCCAGATGACAAAACTGATGAATCCCTTCATTAGGGTTCCACAGACCTTATTTGTATGGTCCCACCCAATCACTTAGGTGGGAGTTACAAGACCATGGCAAGAAAGGCCACACAAAAGCTATCCATCGCACCCCAGGCATTCTGCTTCTGTAAAGATAACAGTCTTGGAAACCCTGTGGGCCAGTTCTACTCTGCACTATAGTGTTGCTATACGTTGGAACTGACTCGCTGGCAATGGCTTTGGTTTTTGTTTTTTTTTTTTTTTAAGTGAAATGGATCAAAAGAGAAACAGAAGTGGCACATACAGAGAACGTAAGGAATTGATGGGAGAAATGACCCAGATAAAATCAACACTGTCAAGCGCTTTCACATACATACCTTGGTAGAATTGCTCCACATACCTAAGCTTATCTGCATGACATTCCTAACACTACTTACTGGAAATGGACACACACAAAACCCACTGCGTGTTGTTGAGTTTAACTCACAGTGACCTTATATGACCGAAAAGAACGGCCCTACAGGGTTCCCAAGGCTGTAATCTTTACAGAAGCAGACTGCCACAGCTTTCTCCCACAGAGCGTATGGTATGTTCGAACCGCCAACCTTAAGGTTAGTAGCCGAGTGCTTAACAGCTGTGCAACCAGGACATACAAGAACTTAACTAATAAATGGAATATGGGCCGCTTCGCCAGACGTATTAATAACTAACAAAATAGAAAGTCTGTCAGCACAGCAGAAAGTGTGCGTGTATGTGAAGTCTTGCATGCCATAAGGTCTGACACACAACGACTCAACTCTACTTTTGCAGCGCGAAAGCAGCCCTAGACCGATGGGCAGCGTGGTGGATTAGTCAGTCCCTCCGTCAGTAGCTAGCCAACTACTGCATGAGAACAGAAAATATATGATTATCTAAACCAAGGCTTTCGAACTACTGCCGAAGAACTACACTGCCCTCTGTCCCAACAGCCGAGGTTCCTGGAGTCCAGGGCTTCAAAAACTTCGTCCTCACAATCCTCTGTACCACAAACATAGGCCACCCTCATGCCCATATTAACAGGAAACTTAGACCAGGCGCATCCCCCGGCTCTAACTTCAGAGCCCAGTATTAAAATCCTGTATAGGAACCCAACACTGCATTCACTGTAAATACTACCTCCACTCCTTACAAGCACAGTGATCCGCAAAGACGCTGTACTCTGACAGTCGAGGCAGCCTCCTTAATCCTTATACAAAGGCGCTCACCAAACGCACCAGACTCCCTCTCACCCGCTTCCCCTCAACCATCTCCATCCCGGCGCTCCCCTCAGGAACTCCCAGTGTCCTCACGACACCACGTCAACACACCTACCTGGCCCTGTTTCAAGACCAAAAACACACTGACCTGTTTTTTTACCTGAATCAATCGGAGTTCAGAAAAGTTGCACTTCCGTGAATTGGTTCTACTTCTGGGCCTCTCACGCAGACTCCTTGAGCGCCAACGGCGGCCGGCGAGGATCTGGAACTTTTCAAAGAGCGCGGACAACCGCATTTCCGGCACTGCCTTACGAGTTAACGAGGTAATATGTCTGCGCCGTTCTTATCCCGGCTTGCCTGAACGCGGCCATATTTAAAAACCGGCCGTACAGAACTCAGGGGGCAGATTTTTGCGCCAGTTGCCAGTGTCAAAAATAATCAAAACTCAACGAAATTTGAACATAAGTTTACTCTAGTTATTCTATATGCATATAGGGAGGCCATCTTGATTACAGAAAAAGCAAATGACTAAAAGAAGCTACGTACAATGAGGCTTATCAAGAGGAGTGATAAATATCGATCAACCATTAGCTAACTTGAACATGATTGATTGAACCCTGCCCTCCGCCTTTTACTGAGCTCTATGGATATCAGTTCACAACATGGTCTCTGTCCCTCCACTCAGCCATATTTTCTGAAATTCAAAATTAGTAAGCCGGTTCCCAACAAGAAAGAAAGGATTTGCAACTTTGGGTGAAAAAAGAACCACTGGCGGTTTAATTGTGGTCACGGATGTCTTTAAAGGGAATATTTGGTTTCCTGGGTAAGAAAACCCCCAAATCAAAGCAAAATGTCAGGAATCAGTTTCTCTCTTTGACGCCTGGGACTGCCAGGCAGAAGAGGAAGTCAACGAAACTGTTTCCGATTCCCTGTCTCCTCGACCTTTCCAAAAAATGGATAGTTTTTCAGTGGCTCGAGCTCCGCAAGGAAAAAAAGCATGGATCAAATTGCTTTCAGCAGGCTGGGCAAAACAGTAATGTGACGACGCCCTTTAAACACTATGTTAAAAAAGAAAGAAAGAAAAAAAGTTCGGAAACGGACAAGTGGGAGTTCAAGTGTCAGTACAGCCAAGACGAGCTCCTGGTAGAATACAAGGGAAAAGGGGAAAGCCAGTAAATGGACAACCACGCAAAGCTTCTGACTGCAAACGTGGCAAGAAGCGGCTGTAAGGACAGAAAAAGATTTGGAGAAGCTGATACTGTATGAGAGTGGCCACCACAGACAGGGCAAAATTGCGGGTAGGATGAGCCTAGGTTATATTTGGAGTGGGGCATAGCATAGGGAAAAGGGCACTAAAGATGAGGTCAGTAAAAGCAAGTAGATCGCCAGGACTTTCTTCCTAGACCGTCTTAGTAAGGAAGCTCCACTGGAACCTCTTCAGCATCACATAAACACACAAGCCTCTTCTCAAAGACGCTAGGTGTCTGTGCTTGAGGTGCATTGGCTGAGAATCAAAGCCTGGCCTCACACATGGTAGCTGAGAATTCTCCCACTGAATCAACACTGCCCTCAGCTTACTTCTCCTCCCTTACATTTCTCAGCCGGCAGTCATTAATGCACAAGCAATTAAGAATGGCTATTTTTGGGAATTATCTGAAAAATAGGTGTCACAAATACTTTTTCACAATATTAAATTTGTAATATGAACTCATTAGCTTTATTTTTCAGCTCATGCACCGGGGAATGTCTGGTTTGGAAGTCAGAGGAAAGTTCCAAAGATGAGATTCTTATACCCTACCTCATCCACATTGTCATGGGAACAGGGTCAGAACAGTGCTTTTAAAATAACAATTCACCCTAAAAGGAAACTTCCAGTTAGACCCTGATTTCCTGTTTCTCTAAACTGACAGCACATAAATAATTCTTCAAAAAGAGCCCAGTTAAGGCAAAACAGTCTCCCCAAAGCTGCTTATGAGGCTATTGTTTGCCTTAAAGGTGACTTTAGTAAACCAGTTTCTTCTAGGTTCAAAAGGACACCCTAGGGCAAGTGATATGGGTGGGTTGCCTCAACTCCATGGATACAGGAATCTGGAGTCCAGGAGAATTAGAATGGTTTTTCACAGGTTATTGGAGGTTGATGAGAAAAGGTCAAAGGATTAACGCAAACAGATACATGTGTCATCCTCACACTCAGCACCACTTCCTGTTGATGCTATCTCCAAAATAACACTTGGATCACTCCATCTTCCTTGTCCTCATTGCTTTACTTCATTTCTCTGATTTACAGAAAGTCTTGGACTTAGGATGTATTTGAGTTATGATGTACCGCACTTATGACCATTTGTTTTTCTTTTTTCGTACATCTTATCATTAGTAATATGTACTACATACAATGTTGCAGCACATAATTTGCTGTAGTTATCGTTCTCATGCCAACCCCCAAAGACAAATAAAGATTGGATTTATAGAGATACTGAAAAGTTAATAATAACATAAACTGAAAAAGAAAAAAGAGGTATTCCACTGTGGTACAATTAATTACTTAATATGGCCGTTCTAGCCAGGGTCTGCCATGAATATACCATGGACTGCCAAAAGAACAAACTAATCTGTCTTGGAAGAAGTACAGCCAGAATGCTCCTTTGAAGCAAGGATGGCGAGACT